TATATATATATATATATATATATATAGACACATACATACATACACACACATACACACACACACACACACATACATACATATACATATACATATATACATATACACACTTTATTTATTTATCAGCACAAATACAACATATATATATGGGTATGGCTAGCTGATGAGAGCTAAATAGCTTGAAATAGATCTATACTAGTCTCCCTTTATTTATTTATCAGCACAAATATAACAACGCTGAAACGTTGCCAAGACAATCTAAATCTTACACGGGAAAAGACCTGAATGCAACAAGACCAGCATGTATGTATGTATATGTACATGTACATATACATATATATATATACATACACACACACACACACACACACACACACACACAGATATATATAGTGATCTATCAGGTCAAGGATTTTTGCATCTCGCAAGTATGCTACAAAATATGCTTACTGGGGCAAAGCCAAGATAAATCTACATTTTGTAAGAGGTGTTTACCTGAAGCTGTCTGGGAATAAAGAAAGGAAATGATCCTTTCCATCTTATTAATGCACTGTTCCTCACAAAAGCAAAGAAAGAAAGGAAAACGTTGTGTTAACTTCACAGAAATGCCTAGTTAAATGTTTAGCATATCACTTACAGACTCACCAAGGAAATGGCTGTGACCATTGATGTCACCCAAGTGTATTGTCATGGATGGTTTGAGATGGTCCCCATTGGAAGTGCCCACAGTTGCCAGGAAAACAAAGAGTGAAGTAGCCATTCTGGGTTGGCTGAAACACACCTGAAGAACACCAGGACATGGCAAAGTCTGAGTATGTTATGGCATGAGCAAAAACAGCAGATCTGTTACAAAGCGACAGAAAAAGAGAATCTCTTCTTCCCAGTATGACTCATTCTTGCTATCCTAGAATTTTTCTATTTAAATCTGAAATTGAGTTTATTTAGTTTGGCTTTTCTAATTTGTTCTTCAAAATTATTGTTTGAACTCTGAGCTATTAGGGGTGGTAATTTAACTCCCTATTTCATTTTCAGGAAAGCCCAGCCAATAACGGACCGTATATAAGAATATTCTTCAACATTATTTTAATGTTAAGCGATGTGTTTCCTTAACTAAGCAAAACTGAAGCCCAATAAGTGAGGTAGGAAATGGCTTTTCATGGACCCACTTCAGAAAAAGTTCAATTAGCAGCATCTGAAATTTAGCTTCATCCTTCAGTATTCAGTATCCATGTGGAAAGTTATCAAGGATCAATCTAAGAATTTCCAGACATTCAAACTGGGAAGCCCTCTGATTCCCACAATCTAGTTTACTAAACAATTTTCTTTCTTATTCTGATTCAGCGGTTATTATTATCTATTTTCTCCATGGCTGAACATCCCCTGTGAAGCAGATCAAGACTAGGGTAAGAGAGTGAACCCCCACAAACTGGTACTTTCACTTTTGTGCTGCCATAGGGTAGAATTGGGGAGCACTAGCCACATATTAATTGTAAACATATGGTTCAGTACCATATCTGTTCTTTAGGACCATCTCTTGGTCATTTCTGGAGATGCATCATGGAAGCCAGAAGAATTGTAATTTATAAAATAAGCCATTCACTTGTCCGAAAGAATCAAGATCTAAATCAAGAATGGCAACTTAATGAGTGATTCCATTGTAATAATGAAAATTATGAATGGTAATTTTATCTTAGCCACTACCGTAATGAAATGGGTCTCTGAATTTTTCTTGTGTATATCCTCATCCATACTATAGAAGTAGCATTATCCTCCAAATATTATTGGAGTGTAAATCTGCTAAAATAAAGGAAGGGAGGAAACAATAGAGAAATTTTAAAATCCTGGAACACTTTTATGAAATATTTGCTAATAATAATAAAATGGCCAATTAATTAAATGCAAAGAAAATGAAGCCTACAAATACTTAGGCATTCTGCAGTTGGATAACATCAAGCATGGAGAAGTAAAAACTATTGTCAGGCGAGAGTACACCAACAGAGTTAGGAAAATTTTGAAATCTAAATTGAATGGTGGAAATACAATCAAGGCCATAAATACCTGGGCAATACCAGTTATAAGATACACAGCTGGTATAGTTAACTGGACACAAGCTGATTTGGACCTTTTGGACCGAAAAACCAGGAAACTAATGACAATGCACTACAGTTTACATCCACGTGGTGATACTGATAGACTGTACCTGCCACGAAAATCAGGTGGCAGAGGATTATTACAAGTGAAGCAAACAGTTGAAGAAGAAAAACATGCACTGGCTGATTATTTAAAAGAAAGTCAAGAACATCTATTAATTGAAGTAAAGAACAAAAATCTACTGAAGGCCCAACAGACGAAACAAGAGTACAGAAAAGATGTGATAAAATCAAGAATGGAGAGTTGGCATGGCCAATGTCTGGAAAAAATAAAAGATAACGTGGACAGTGAACAAACTTGGTTATGGTTAACAACAGGTACATTAAAGAAAGAAACAGAGTCACTAATCCTGGCTGCGCAAGAACAAGCTATCCGCACAAATGCCATTAAGGCCAAAATCGAAAAATCCTCTGATGATGCCAAATGCAGACTTTGCAAAGAAGCTGATGAAACTGTTGATCACATACTCAGCTGCTGTAAAAAAATTGCGCAGACTGATTATAAATTGCGGCACAATTCAGTAGCACAAATGATCCATTGGAATTTGTGCAAAAATTATAATATTAAAACAGCAACAAACTGGTGGGAACATCAGCCTGAAAAAGTCACCGAAAATCAGATGGTCAAGATCTTGTGGGATTTCCGTATACAAACCAACAAAATACTGGCGCATAATACACCAGACATCACACTGGTTGAGAAAAATAAGGTCACAATCATAGACATCGCAATACCAGGTGATAGCAGGGTCGCCGAGAAGGAACATGAAAAAATCGCAAGATACCAGGACTTAAAAATCGAAATTCAACGACTATGGCACAAACCAGCAGTGGTAATTCCAGTGGTAATTGGCACACTGGGTGCTATTCCAAAAGCACTGGAATTACATTTAAAACAGTTAAAAATTGACAAAATCACCATCAGTCAAATGCAAAAAGCCGCACTGCTTGGAACTGCACGCATATTACGAAAATACGTTATGACGTCCTAGGCCCCTGGGTGGGGCCCGACTGGTAACCAATGCCAAATCCGGAGAAACAACTGGCCGCTGTGATACAATTGTATAATAATAATAATAATAATAGAAAAAACGAGAAATAAGGGGCTGAGGGGATTTCTGGAATAGTTAAGAGGAAGGGAATAATATTGGTTCGTTAAAATCTTTTGAAAAGAATGTCAAAAATCCTATAGTTTCTTTTCTCTCATTAGTTCTTTTCTGCACTTTATTTTTATTTTTTCATTATCTTCTCTACTTTCTTTAAATTTCATTTTTTATGGAAAAGTATTTAATAAAAAACATTTTAAAAATATGTATATCCTGACATTTGTTATGAAGTATTATTTATTTATTCTCAAATTCATTTTACAGTCAACATATTGTCTTCTCCAGTTTCATACTATTCTGCCCCATTATAAGGGGACGTGATTGTTCCTGGGAGAGCTGAGTAAAGAATACTTTCAGCGAAGTCCATTCAAGGCATGACAGTTATCCCAGCTGCATAGCTAAACTAGCAGCAGCAATATAAGATGATGGAGGCAGACAATCACTTCAAAGGCAATGACCAAGGTATCATTTCAGCGGAAGGCAATACTATCCCTGTGTTTTACCTCCTACATAGATGGACAATATAAAGAGACTTGACAATATGTGTGCCAAATGATGTAATCAAACCGAGGGAACTCAATACGTTACTGAGGAAGAGCTAAGGATCAATTGGTGTTGATGATGTGCCAAGATTAAAGATTTTGAGACGCCTAGTTGCTGATGCTAATATGCAAAAAAAGAAAATCTGAAGCTGTAAGGAGTTACAGCTGAAAAATGGGATGTAAAAATCATGATGCAGAGAAAACTCAACACAGTAAACAGTGAAACAAATCAACCATGCATTGATATCTTAGGCACCAGCAAACTGAAATAGTCTGCAATTGGACACTTTCAGTCAGAAAACCTTACCGCTTACAGTACAGGGTGCGAATAACTCTGAAGCAATATTATTGCTTTCATAGTCAGAAAGACAGCATTTAGGTATAATGACCGAATGATATCAACTGGATTGCAGACATCTTTTTAATATGACAATTATGCAAAGTTATGTCGATGTCAAAATGGCAGAACATGGAAATAATGTGTATAATGTGTAGAGCCGAGGTGGCGCAGTGGTTAAATGCAGCACTGCAGGCTACTGCTAGATCAGCAGTTCAGCGGTTCAAATCTCACCGGCTCAGGGTTGACTCAGCCTTCCATCCTTCCGAGGTGGGTAAAATGAGGACCCGGATTGTTGGGGGCAATATGCTGACTCTCTGTAAACCGCTTAGAGAGGGCTGAAAGCCCTATGAAGCGGTATATAAGTCTACTGCTATTGCTATTGCTACTGCTTGGGGTTGGAGACTGGAATGCTAAAGCTAGAAAGAGTAAGGAAGAAAACTTAATTCAGTTGTATGAACTAAGAAGCAGTAACCAGGAGACTGCCTTACCAGTTTCTGCCAAAGGATTTATTTATTGCTAACACAGCCTTCAAACAAACAAAACAATGATTGTTTAAGTGGACATCATTAGGTGAAGTACAATGAAATCAAATTGATTCTGTTATTGGCATAAGGTAGAAGACCAGCAAAGATGTGACCAATGGACAGATCACAAATTGTTCACGTGAAAATTCCAAGGTAGGCTAAAGTGGAAGAAGAAAGCCAATATAATTTTCAGCATATGGACAACATTTTCAAAAAAACATCAGGAACGGCTTTAAAACCCTGAACCTCATTGATAGAGAACCAAAGGAACTATGGAACTATGAAATCAAAAAAGCTGTTAAGCATGGAGGTGGAAAAAGTCTGCCAAGACCAAGAAACAGAAGAAAGTAAACTGGATGTCAGAACAAGTAGCATAAATTGCCAAGTGGAGAAGAGAGGTCAAAACCAAGTTCCCAGGAAGTGACCTAACAAAGAAATTCAGATAACCATTTAGCAGTTTTACCATGACATTTGAAAAGACTTTGGTGATAGAAACAGAAAAGAAAGAAACAACAAAGTATTTCAAAAGATCGCCAAACTCAGAAGGAATTTCTAACCCTCAACTGGTATGTTAAAAGATCAGATAGCAATAGATTCAAAGAATTTTTTTAAAAAATGAACAGAATATCATATACTAAAATTTAACAGAACAGAGATGTCCACTGTCAGGTTACCTTATAAAATATTCCCTATTCACAAGTTAGATCACCACTCTATGTATTCTTGGGTTACAGGAATTGATGGAATATCTACAGAAATACAGCAAGCAACAGAAGAAGCAGAAAGAATTCTAAGCAAATTATTCCAAGCATTACTGGAGAATACCACAATGGCCAACATATTGGAAGAAGTAATCTTTCCTTCCAATATCAAAAAAAGGGAAACTTAACAGAGTATGGAAACTATTGTACAATATCATTAATTTTGTATGGAGGCAAAATTATCCTTAGGATCATCCAATGCGGTTTCAAGCCCTATATTGAAAAAGAGATGTCAGAAAATCCCAAGGAAATGAGGTACAATTGCTGATGCATGCTGGATAATTGAGAAAGCCAAATACCAAAAAGAACTTCTCTGTTTCATTGACTATAGAAATTTGCTTAATTGTGTTGATAACATCAAATCAAAGAATGGGAATCTCTGTCATTGGCATCAATTTGGTCCAACCACAAGCCAAAGAACTCTTCAACTAAAGAGACCTGGATGTCAGCATTCACAAGAATTGTTTACCATATTAAATGTCTAAAATGAAATCTACATTTTTAAAAACATTTTCGTTGCCCTTTAGGAATATCTATCTGGGGGGGGGGGGGGATGAAGCAATTACAATTGTAAGAAAAAGCATTGTGCAGCAGCACTACGTATAAATAAAAGGACTCTTTCCTTTCACATTCCCAGTGAATTGGGCATTTCATCCCAGAAATAGTTCTGAAGAAAAAAGACAATAAGAGCCGAGTAAAACATCAGGGATTATAGGGTATCCAAAATTGTAGTGAAGCAGAAGATCAGCATTTAGCAGATTATAATGCTTAGCAGTTAAACCATAATTAGTTGCCAAAACTCAGTATGATCAACCTGGAGATCGGCATGTGCATATTAACTGCCATTTTTTCCTCAACATGTGTTCATTATGTGACTGCCAAATTCACTCACTTTCAGCCAAATCCTGTCATTCAAATGTGCTTTCTCCATGTCTGTATCCTGAAGAACATCATTTTTCATACAAGGAAACCACGCCAGCTGTGATTCACTCTCCAGGGTCTCTTGATGATGGGGCCTGCACACCTAAAAAAAAGGGGGGGGAGATTTTCAGTGCTTCCTGGAGTTGGAGAGACGCTGTTTATTACATCAGAAACAATATGAAAAGCAAGGGAACCATAACAAAAATCAAAAATCCATATTAGGAAAAATACTTACGCCAGTTCAGTTTGGAAATATGTGCAATATTTGTGACCCTGAAATGACCTAATAAAAGTACTGGAATTCAGAACTAGAAATAACTAAATGGTATTTTTTTTTTGTTTCTATTAGAAGTTCTATTTTTAAAAATGTTTGTTCACACACACACACACACACACCTGCCCACGGCATCCTTGACCCCACAATATCTGCTGCCCTACTTGCCTTGGACTCACTTCCCATTTAATGACCCGTATGTCTCAGGGTTATGACAGCAAAATCGGGACTGTTGGGATTGCCATCACCAAGTGATGCAGTCAGGTAATGTCACACTTTGTGATTTGCATTGCTTAGTGACAGAAATTCTAGCCCCAATTGCTGTCGTAACACGAGGCCTAACTGCATGGTCATCTTTATTTAAAACCATTGTGTAAAACTTTAAATGCACAAGAGACAAGCTTATATATACACCATAAATATGCACACTTTGCTATTCTTGGTGTTTCTTAATACAGGTAGTCCTCGATTTATAACAGTCATTTAGTGACTGTTCAAAGTTACACTGAAAAATAGGACTTATGGCTATTTCGCAACATCCCCATGATCATGTGATCAACATGCTTGGCAACTGCTTCATATTTATGACCGTTGCTGTGTCCCAAGATTACGTAAGCACTTTTTGCGACCTTCTGACAAGCAAAGCCAATGGGGAAGCCAGATTCACTTAACAACCAGGTTACTAATTTACCAACTGCAGTGATTCACTTAACAACTGTGGCAAGCAAGGTCGTAAAATGGAGCAAAACTCACTTAACTAACGTCTTACTTAGCAACGTAAATTTGGGGCTCAATTGTGGCCGTAAGTCAAGGACTACTGTACTGTTTGTTTGTTTTTTAATTTAATAAATAAGGGTAGAAAGTTGAAAATTAAAACAAAGTATTCGGAGTTTTAATCATTTGCATGGTAGTTTCTGCACGAGGACAGCTCTCTGTGAGGATTGAGTCCTTGCTGTAGCATGTCTATAACCAGGCAATTCCATTCCGAGTTGTAGGTGGTGCTCATCTTAATGACTGCTATTCTATACAAAAACCAAACTAGCTACATCCACCGGCATACAGAAACTAGTAAGTATTTGGTTGCCCAATACTTGTGGCATGAGAGATTTTATGAGAAAGTATTTTAAATGCTGATGGTTTTACTGGAAGACTGGAGAAGAGAAAGTGGATAGTAGTCTACAACTCCTTCACTTAGACGTATATAGAAGTTTATGTTCTTATACCATAGTTAAGTGTTGTGGCCCAGCAGGAGCCGTTGGAGCTGCCACCAGACTCCGACAGCGAGGGGGTCCTCTGAGTC